ATACAAGAACAGTAGGTTAAACGTAAGTAGACTCAAAGTCTAAGGTTAAAGCATTATGTATTGTCAACCACCCTTTGCAAATTTAAAATATAATCAAAATTTAATTTACATTCCTTTATAACGGATTACTCTTTGAAAATTAGCATTCATCAAATTTAAATTATTTGATTTGTTTTGTTTTACATTTTAAAAAGTACATTAAACTAATCATCAACATAATTCTTGAGCTGTCCATACAATAATAAGCAGCCTGTTCAATAACAGATGCCCCGAAGTATCTCAAATTATCAACCCACCTCTTTCTTCTGTGGCAAAGGGGAAAAATAGTGACACGTATATGCAAAATATTCATGCTTTAAAATATTCTTCAGTTTTAAGGTGCAGGCGTAGAATCATACAAGTGTAGGACTGGAAGGGACTTCAGAAGGTCATCTAGTCCAGCACCCTGAATTCAGGGCAGGACTAAGTAATAAACCATTCCTGACAGGTGTTTGTCTAACCTGTTCTTAAAAACCTCCAATGACGGAGATTCCACAATCTCCCTAGGCAATTTGTTCCAGTGCTTAACTAACCAGACAGGAAGTTTTTCCTAATATCCAACCTAAACCTTCCTTGCTGCAATTTAAGCCCCTTGTTTCTTTTCCTATCCTCAGAGATTAAAGAGAACAATTTTTCTCCCTCCTCCTTGTAACAATCTTTTATATAGTTGAAAACTGTTAGGTCTCCCCTCAGTCTTCTCCAGACTAAACAAACCCAATTTTCTAACTCTTTCCTCATAGATCATGATTTCTAGACCTTTTAGCATTTTTGTTGCTCTCCTATGGACTTTATACAATTTGTGCACATCTTTTCTGGCACCCAGAACTGGACACAATACTCCAGCACAGAGTAGAGCACTCTGGGATAGCTCCCGGAGGCCAGTACTGTCGAATTGCATCCACACTACCCCAAATTCAACCCAGCAAGGTCGATTTCAGCGCTAATCCCCTCGTCAGGGAGGAGTACATAAATCGATTTTAAGAGCCCTTTAAGTTGACAAAAATGGCTTTGTCATGTGGACGGGTGCAGGGTTAAATTGATCTAATGCTGCTAAATTCGACCTAAACTCGTAGTGTAGACCAGGGCTAAGACTCAATGAGCCTTTGCTTTAGCTGACCATAGAAGCAGCTATTTTCTCCTGGTCCAGGTACTGAGAGTTTTTATGGGATATTTTTGACTCTGATTATATTCTTGTTCTTGAAATGAAATGATTTTAGTTCAGAGGCCAACATAAAATATGTAACAGCATCTCCTTCCGCTCCCCTCATTGCCAAAACAAACCACTAGATAGCTCGTCAAGTCTGAGACAAGTGATACCTTTGGACTCGTCCTGTTGCCATTAAAGTCAGAGAAATTTGCATTGTCTTATACAACAGTAGGATCAGCCACAATCAGGGAGTGGTAGGAGTACAAATGTGAGATATTAGGTTAGAAAGCTAAATTACAGTACAGGAGTTGATTAATACAGAAGTAGTAATGGGCAATTTCAGATGTTTATAATGGATATAGAAATTAAAAAGATTTTTTTCAACACATCGTTCAATTATTGTATTAGTCATATTCAATTTAGTCTGCAGCCAATATATCATGTAGATAAGATGCCCACATTATAAGATAATAAAATAAAACACCTGAAATTGCTTCTATTCTGAAGAACTATCTAGATAGTATATGTTTTTGTCTGTTCATTTGCGGGGGTTTTTGAGTGAATGCAGACAGAAAAGCAATAATGGCTTCTACAGCAGCAAGTCCTAAAAAAAATGAGATGAACAATATATACTTTTTCAGGACATATCAGAAATGTTTTATTTTTCCATGTTACTTCTAATTATTTTTCTCACTTGTTTATATTTTTAAAATATTATTATTTGTATTACAGTAGTGCATAGAGGCCTCAACAGAGGGGAGGGCCTTGTGCTAGGTGTGGTACAGATGCTTAGCAAAAGCCAATCCCTGCCTGAAGCCCCTACAATCTAAATAGATAAGACAATCCCCAGGTTACAGACAGGGAAGTGCGGCACAAAGATTAAGTGACTTGCCCATGATCACATAGGAAGCCAATGGCAGAGCCAGACATTCAATCCAGATCACCGGAGTTCCAGGACTGAGATCTCTTAATCGAGGAGCAACAGTTTGTTTTTTTCATGCAACGTGGCCAATTAACTTTTTTTAATAACTGTTTCTATGGGGGGAAAGTAAATAGCAAAGACAAAGATGAGTTAATTATTGGATCAGTTTATGTTCTCTTTCTGGTCTCATTAAAATCTGCAGAAACCTCCAGGAAAAACACAGCCTCTTCTGTGTCTACAAACAGAATTGCTGGAGTGAAATTTGGTGAATGCCCTGGAACTGCAGTGAAACCAGAAGTTTTCCCCACTAGGGGACACTGAGGTCCTTCCCAACTTTCACCTGCCTTCTATGAGAAGCATCTGCTTGACAGACATATAAAGTGTGTGGGGGGTGTTTATGTGTGCTGTGACTAGCTTATTCTGTCAGACTGGTTAATTTAAAATAGCTGAAACCCCGTTAAGTTTACTCAGCCTTTCCCCCTTCGTTCTGTTTCTCCTGTTGTTGCTGTCCCTGGTGCTGATCTGAAAGCCAGAATGCATGTACTTAAGAACTCAATGTCTCCAAGCTGCCCACAGATAACAAAAACAAAGCAGTTAAAACAATCTAGTCTAAATACTACAATAACTCCTAGTGTAACCTATAAGATAATCTATGTGCTAGGTACACACATTACTATAGATAGCAAAATGATGCAACTGGAATTTTATTTGTGTTAGCGAAGTCAGGGTTCATAGAGCCATAGATCAGTGTCTTTAAAAAGTTTAAATCTCAATAAATAAAGATACACACCTACTGGTATGGCATTCTATACAAATATTTATTAAGAATAATAATGGACTGTTGCTAAAAGAATGACCAAGATTCCCAACTTGAAAAGTGACAGTTTGGTGCAACTGCTGTAACTAAAATATTCTTTAAACTGTCAGGAGAAAAATATATGAGGAGAACTAAAATCAAATGTCATAGCAGTTTTGAACTGATATTATTGAATAAGAACAAGTTAAACAGTGTAGTCCTTTTTAGAATCTTTGTCTGTAATACCTTGGAATCATCCACTCTAGTATCCCCATATGCAATCTGTAAATGAATGCAGATAACATCAGGATATCAGGTCAATACTTTCATTAAGGTGCTAAGATTTTGCATCTTGAAATAGACCTCACCTTGCTGTCTTCCAGCACTAGGAAATTGCTCTATATCTAGCTTATCTTGGAAATCCTTCTGCTAGATATTATTAACTGAAAAACAAATGTATAAAATTGATTTAAAAGTAACATTTTATTAAGCTTCCACCATCCCTGCAGGAAATTTCTTTATTTTGCCATCCACAAATTTTCAGTGATGTGGCTGGATGAGGAGGGAGGGCAGTGTGTGCTGCAAGATTTAGTAGCAACGGGCCTTAAGAGTATCGAGGATGAGATTCTCAAGGGTCTTTGTCATGGATGGAAATGGAATCATTACTGCAATACTACTAACGTCATTGGCACCCACCCACAGCCAGTCCACTAGCAATATAAGTGGAGAGATCAGTCTGTTTTGCAGATACAGACAGGCTAACCAGGAAGGGGCAAGCCAGAGCCAAACTTACAGGTAAGCTTTATTTAAGGAGAGAGTGAGAGTAAGGGTTGCATCAAGTTGTAAAATGTTCTATATTTATTATTAATTTATTATTTCATATATTTACTACATTTAGTTTTTCTCAAGCAGTTTTAAAATTGGGCTATCTGGATTTTTAATTATATTGCTATATTTTCCTCAGGGCACACAAAGATCTGCTGCTGTAACTAAATGATTAACTATTTTAGAACTATTATATGATGGAAATAGAGAGGGGATGCAGTGTCTCAGAGGTAGCAATGGAATGGGAAGCATTTCTTTAGGACTAATCTGTTCCTCAAGATACACTAAAGGCAGGGTAGGGGGAACAC